CCACCCCCAACTATGCCTGGACACCAAGCCAACACGGAGCTGTGACCCTTCCACCCCCAACTATGCCTGGACACCAAGCCAACACGGAGCTGTGACCCTTCCACCCCCAACTATGCCTGGACACCAAGCCAACACGGAGCTGTGACCCTTCCACCCCCAACTATGCCTGGACACCAAGCCAACACGGAGCTGTGACCCTTCCACCCCCAACTATGCCTGGACACCAAGCCAACACTGAGCTTGGTGCACAAGGTCCTGGGCAAGTCTGTACAATGAAAGGCAATTGGCTGCTGTAGCAGTGTAGAAGCTGGGACCAGGCCGTGATAGCATCAATGCAGCAAAAACATGGAAGCCAAATAGTGTGTGGTGAGGACCAAATGTTTGGGAGAAACCTGAAGAACCGCAGATGATTTCCAGCGCTCACCTTGGCTTTCGTAGCGGCAGAGGCGAGGGCAGCGGCAGCAGCCATTGCTACATTAGCTTCAGAGAGATCGTTTTCCATTTTCTTTTTGATGGGGTCGATCTCTTTGGTGGACTCCACGTTTTCTTTAGATTCTTCCGTTTCCTCCTCTGTTAGGAAAAAAAAAAAAATACAAAGGTTACTCTACAAAATGAGTGATGTTGTCCAACTTAGGCCAGAAAGATGTCAGACACAGGGCCAACACACACTTGAGAAGTATGGGGTCAGGGCTTTTCCCCATAGTTCTCCTTAGGGTAACGGGAGGACACAAACTAGCGCCCTCCCGTCACCCAAAGCTCAGTATATAGGGAGCTACAGCTCGCAGTATACTGAGACGCCGCAGCTGAAGCGGATCCCAACAATTAGGTCTGAATTCGCACAGCTGCACGAGTGACAGCTGGCTCTGCCTATCTAGAGGCCGAGCCAGCTGTGCCCGCCCCCTCCCCCGTCCATTCCGCCAGTCAGCGCTGGAGGATCGGACAGGGGAGGCGGGGAATTTCTGCAGGGAGCAATGAGTGACAGCTGGCTCTGCCTATCTAGAGACAGAGCCATCTGTGCCCGACCCCTGCGGGCACAGGGCAGGGAGCAATGAGTGACCGTCACGGCTCTCTGCTGTGACAGGATCGAGAAGTGAGCGAGCGCCGGTATGTGTTCGCTCACTTCCCGATCTACTGAGCCGACCTGTCACAGTCTCATTGTCACAGGTCGGCTAGAACTATGAGGTGAGTGAAAATCACTCCTCATAATTCTCCTTTAAACCTGTGGCCAGGCTATGGACATCCAAGTATTCACCTATTCTTAAGAAGCAAGTCCTCTGTAGCTGCAGACGTTGCGGAGCAATTCATCCTCAAGTGAACAGTAGAAGCAATTAATTCTCTGCAGCTCAGCCTTCCCTGCTCCCTCCTCCTAGTATTGACTTAGCTCAGCTCTCCTCCCAGTAGTGACTCATGCCACACTCCCCCTTCAGAGCAGTAACTCTGCACCCCCTACTCCCCCCCCCACAGCAACTGCGTTCTCAGCAACCCCCTCCCAGCAGTGACACGGTAGCTCTCCATCCTTGCGTTCTCTAATGTACACAGAGCAGGTGCTTCTGGACTGAACCTTGAGGATGCTTTCCTCCACAGTACCAGCACCTACCTAGGTCAATGAGGGCTCGTTTTAAAGTTAATTTACTGCTTGTTAAATTAAATGCTTCCAAAGCCAAAGCCTAGCTAAAGGTTGACTTTCAGGACAGTTAATAGTTCTTGGAGTGGAAATACAGTGTAAATACTCACAATAAACATTTCAGTCACGCTTGTCAGTAAGGCCTCATTCACACACGAATCGGTCTGCACGTACAGCTCCGCGCTGTGTGCGGGGCCGTACTAAGTAGCTGCCGGGAAGGACAGGTGCTGCGTGTGATTAGAACGCAGCCCCCATCCTTCTCTATGGGGCTACGCGGCCGTACGCCCCCCCTGCGCTCACCTCATTTGCAGGTCCGTAGGGGGTGCGGGTGATCGTATTCATACGCCGCCGGAATGGAACACGTATGCGTCCCGGCCAGAAAACCCGCACCCCTACGGACCTGCAAATGAGGTGAGCGCAGGGGGGGCGTACGGCCGCGTAGCCCCATAGAGAAGGATGGGGGCTGCGTTCTAATCACACGCAGCACCTGTCCTTCCCGGCAGCTACTTGTTACGGCCGATTCGTGTGTGAATGAGGCCTTAGAGACCAAAAGATCAGTGTCTAAGGAATGTTCCGCTCAGGCTGTGTATAAAAAAAAAAAAAGCTGCCTCCGGTCACATCACCATACCGTCGTGCCACAGGCTGCTTTTACGCATTTCAGGGGCATACCCCCTTCCTCAGAATCATGGCGATTATTATTGACAAGCGTGACTGAGATTTTTATAATTGTATTTATAACCGTTATTATTCAAATTAAAAAGAAGATTTCACACAAGGAGGCGGCAGTTTGTTGCTTTTGTCTATGTATCTGATGAGAACCCCCAGCCTGACGAGCAGCCTCCCCAAAAGCTGTGGATATTAACAAGAAAGACTACTCCTGGAGGATTAGCGGCAAGAGTTATAATCGACTTTTTCTGTCTGGTAGACAGGGGCTCAAACCCTCTATAGACCTCATGTTTCCCCCAATGATATAACCCCATGGGCCTTGGTTTCCCCCAATAAATAAGACTGATATTTGCAATTTGCCCCTACATATAATAAGGGGGGTCCCCAATGTCCCGAGACCACTGTGGCTTACAGTACTTGGTGGTCTGGAGTCTGCAGTGGTCCTCATACGGAGTTACTGCATCCTATGGCCGCGACACGTTCCAGGTCCCACCATGAGACGGCACGGGAAGTAAAATATGTAAAGCCAGACGAATGTCATAAAATCAGAGTTTTTCATATTAGGAGAAACGGATTTGTGATACAAAGTGTACGGAGCAAGCCCACCCACCTCACCCAGGGATAGAACATACAAACTAGTGTCTGGGGGGGGACAAGCCTAGAGTACAAGGACCGCTGCAAGGACGAGGTTGTAAATAACTATACCGGCTTTCTCTTCTGCCGCGGGCTCCGCCCCTTCCTCTTCCGGCTTCTTCTCCGTTGGCGCGTCGGATTTTTCGCTGCTCTCAGTCTCCGGCCCCTCCTCAATTTTCACCTCCGGTTGCTAAAAATCACAACAAAAAAACGCAAAGTTACGGATTATCTGGAGTTGAAAATCAACAGGACGGAGAGAAGCCCCAAAACAAGAGGCCCGAGGACTCACCTTCTCCGGCTGCGAGGCTTCTGGGGTCTCCGTTTCCATCTTCTCCTCTTCTGTGCTTTCAGCTTAAAATTAAAAAGGGGATATTGTTCATTTTATTGCGTACAAGTCTCAGATCTAATACTCGCTAACAGATAAAATATTAAAGTGAACCCAACTCGGCGTAAAAATGGTTCCAAGGTATCGGTAAACACACCTTAGGCCCCGATTCAAACTAGAAAATGTCCGGCACTTACAGCTCCATACTGCGTACACGGCCGTATCGGGCAGCTCCCGGGAAGGACAGGTGCTGTGTGTGATTAGTACGCAGCCTCCGCGGCCATACGGCGCCCTACACGTCTGTACGTGTGTGGGTGGGTGTCCTTACTCGTACGCTGACAGGATGGATCCTGTCTGCGTCAGAGCCGGGACACCAGCACCCGCACGGCGTACAGCAGCAAATTTGCATAGAGAAGGACGGGGGCTGCGTACTAATCACACGCAGCACCTGTCCTTCCCGGGAGCGGACCGATACGGCCGTGCACGCAGCACAGAGAGTACGTGCCGGCCTTGTCTAGTGTGAATCAGGGCTTAAGCTGAACTCCAGGAATGATCACTACCACTGTGTGTTGCAGAATCCCCAGCGGCCCTCCAGAGATCTGATATGGATATTTACAATGAGCTGGACCAATGTAAGAAGCCATAAAACGTCATTCCTGGGGGTTCAGCTATCTACCTGTGTGGGTTTTCCCAATGATTGCCCACACAGCTACGTAAAGCTAAAGTGCAATATACACATTGACCAAAATGGGCAATGTAGGTGTGCAGACCCGGGAACTCGCATACAAGAGTACAGAAAACCAAAAGAACTTTAAGACGAATACACAAAGTTAACTCATGCAGCAGGTTTACTTTAACGCAGGCCTGGACAAAACCATGGCGCCAGGTCGCCAATGCAACTAGAAATAGAGTCTTGGCGCCTGGGCTTCCGTCAGCCTGTTCACCGCACCTTTTTTCTCCACCGCTTCCCCCTGTAGATCCGGTGCTGCTGTAGGTCCTCCCACAGTCTCCTTTACTCCCTGTGCATCATGGTTCTCCTTCTCCCTTCTAGTCCCCGCTCGCAGTGCTGGAGACAAACAGGGAGGGGTGCAGGAGGTATTTCACATGTTATCACCAAGTGTGGAGCGCTGGAAAAGCTCAATCCCCCCACCACCACATCAGCTCTGCCCGTTGTTCCCACTGCCCCCCCCAAAAGACCACTGCAGCAGCCACCCAGCAGGGAGGAGAGACCACTGACTTTGCAATCCCCCCACATCAGCTCTGCTGTGTCCATTCCTCCCTGACCCCTCCAACAGACCACTGCAGTCGCCACCCAGCAGGGAGGAGAGACCACCGACTTTGCATCTCTCTCCCCCCCTCCATCAGCTCTGCCCGCTCTGACTCTGCATTAGCCCTTCCCCACCCCATTGCGCCCCCCGCTGCCCCATTTTCTTAGGATTAACTACATGCTGCCTCTAGGTCTCCCATCCAGCAGCTGGCAGCAATAGCCCGCCTGCTATTGGCTATTTTTAAATTGCAGTAGCCAATAGAAGGCTGACTATTGCGCCTGCCCACTGCCAATCAGCAGAGGACCTAAAAGGAGAACTTTTTCCTTGCGGTTCCTCCTCTGCTGATTGACAGCAGGCAGTGGACGGGTGCAACAGCCAGCCAGCCTGCTATTGGCTACTGCAATTTAAAATGGCCAATAGCAGGCTGGCTTATTGCCCCTAGCCACCGACTGCTGTGTTTACATTTAGCGGCCTCGGCAGGCAGCTGTCTATCCCCAGCTAAAGCTATTGAAGCGGACAGGTGACACTTAGAGGTCTAACAGATGCCTAATGTCACCTTAAAAAGGGAACCCGTCATCTCCAATGAGTTTAAAAAAATAAAGTTAAACTAAAATAAAAATGTAAAGTCCCCGTGAAACATACCTGGCTCCCAACATTTTTAACTGGATTTAAAGAAAATTGATCAAGCCCTGCTTCAAGGCCAGCCCACCCAGCACGAGGGAACGGCTCCTTTTCACATGAAGACGTACAGCGAACTAAGTTCCGTTCATTACACTCACCGGCCTTGTCGGGCTCCTCAGGCGCTGTGCCAGCTATGCAGCTGCTCTCCAGGCCATAGGTCGGGTCCACCTTGCCCAGGGCCTTGGCCGCTTCTTGTACCTTCTTAATATGAGCCTCCACCAGCTCCAGGGGCACCTCCTCCCGAACGCGGGAAAACTCCTCTGAAAACACACAAATGTACACGAGCAAACTATAAATATATTCTACAGTACATAATGTATTGTACTGTAACTGTACTGTCGCCACTATTCTGTACAGCGCTGAGCAAATTGTTGGCGCCATATAAATCCTGTATACTAATAAATATGAAAAACTAAACTCCTGTATGCATGCACGAGGCGGGTGGTCAGTCCAGAACGAGGGGGGGGGGGACCTGTCATCACTCTGCCCACATCCCAAAGGTGAATGTAAACCAATTAGAACCACTTCTTGCATATGAGCATTAAATAGACCCGAATAGCTGGCCATAAACTGCATCGTTTCACCTTTTTTGCCTCCTATCCTGCGGTCACGTGACGTAGCCCATGTACCTCCCGCACCTCGCTGTGCAACACTGGGGCAGAGGTAAGTTGCAGCGTGTGACAAAAGTTCTAAACCCCGGCGCTCCATGAAAGAACGCATCCCTGGCATCTCTACACATGCATCCTCCTCCCCTGCAGGCTTTAGCTGTGCAATCTGCCGATCAGTTGCTTGATTACACTATATCGGACCTGCTTATGGGAGAGAACAGAATGCACAGCTACAGTAGGTAACACTCCAGTGGCCAGTAGGGAGGAGCATGTGTGTCCTAAAGCAGTGGTTCTCAACCGGTATAACCTCAGGACCCACATTTGTCCTTGGCCATTAAGTCGTGACCCAAGTTGCACTGCAATGGAACGCACGGCATTGCGGTACAGATCCACCCAGTCTCCCTATCTTATGAGAACTGGAGGGGATCCTCAGCCTGGGGTCCGGTGTGGGCTGCTGAGCTGTGACGGAGCCCCATCCATATGTGCATTGCTGGTACAGCTCACTTGAGTGCCCTGTAGAGGTTCCGGGAGCCAGAATGTGACATCACTTCGGTGCAGGCACCTCTACAAGGCACATGAGGGAGCTGTGCAAGCAATGCAGATATGGATGGAGCTCCCTTGCGGCCATGGCCCCATCCCTCCCCCATCACAAGGTGACACTCGGCACCGGGCAGCATATTTTGAATAGCTGCTTGGCCCGAGAACTGACAGTGCTGCTCTAGGTGGAGGCTGGGGAGCCTCATCTAGAAAAGGGGAAAGCATGTGGTGACCCACTGAACAAGGGGTCACGACCCACCAGTTGAGAACCAAGGTCCTAAAGGGATGATTGATTTCCCAATGCTCAGGCTCAAAGCAGAGAATGGCTTCCTCCCAGGAGAAAACTGGAGCGTGGAGCAAGCCCCGGCACCCTCAAGTCTCTACACCTCCCTGATCAGACTATGACCCCCACGGCGTCACTCACCAAGAGCAGCTTTTGCGGCCGCCGCAGCTACCCTAGGATCCACCACCGAGGCCAGGAAGGCGACCGTGCTCATAACCGGGTTGCCGGACTGGCTGAACGGGACAGGCTGATAGGCCAGGGGTCCCAGGGAAGAGTTGGAGTTCTCCAGGTACGGGTCCTCAATCGGCAGCCGGAGGAAGTGCAGGATACATTCATCCTGAGTGCGGCTGCCCACGTGTTCCGACACCTTGTTCCAGTCATCTTTGTACATCTCCAGAGCCTGCGAGGGGGGAGACAACGGAGGGATTCACAAAAAACACGAACCGGGGCAACAACGCGGGGTAGGAGGTGCCCCGAAACAGCGTCTCACCTCTAACAGCAGCATAGTCTCCTGTTCTGTCCACTCCCGCCCAGCGCTGGCCGACTTCTGTGAGGGGGGAAGAGAGAGAGAGTGTTAGAGTCATCCGGCAAATCATACAGGTACTGAACGAAGAAACATTCACCTGCTCTCCTCTATCCTATTGGTGCTCAACATGGTGAGGGGAGACCATGAGAAGGGACTGCAGTGCCAAACACAACAGCCTATGCCCAGGTGCCCAACCTGCAGCCCTTTGGCACATGTTTGGCCCTTGGGGCCCCTGCATACAGTGGCCTGTGTATTTCCTTACCTATTCATTACATTTGATTACTCAAAACAGTGAGGGGGGAAAACCCCTCTATGGGCTGGATTCCAGCACTTCAAATAGCTTGGTTCCCCCATTTCACATCATCTTCCCTAACCTGGCCTAGAGATCAAATGTGACACCAGCCATCTGTAGGGAGCTGCATGAAGCTCCGATTTGTAGCGGGTCAGTAACAGTGATCTCTAGCAGTCTCATGTAATGAGTCCTAAGTCCATTATTGTGTCTCCTGAAGAATGCTCCAGAGTCCGCAACATATCAGCGGTTCTCAACCTGCGCGACCTCAGGACCCACATTTGTCCGCAGTCATTAAATCGCGACCCAAGTCGCACCGCAAAAGACTGCACGGCGTTAGGGTACGGCGCGTTCCGGTGCAGGAGCGTACAAACTGTGGGTGAGAGGTGCCTTTAGGGTACCGTTCAAATAAAATGGCAATGCAACACACCTCCCAAATCAGAATGCATGGTACTATGCTATTAATTCACTGTACTAGTGTGAACGGGGCCCTCAAAAACAATGACATACACACACAACCACAGACACAATCTCACACACTTAAAAACATTTTTAATTTGACAAAATCCTAATTGGCTATAACAAAATTAGAGGGCTCATGACTTTGAAAAATTCGGAGAGAAACTCAATTCAAATGAATGCATAGGGCATATGTACCTTACTTTATATCCAACACAATGACTCGGAACCAATCTAAATTTTCTAGTTGCATGTCCCTCATTGTACCATTGTTTACGGACATGTCCATCTATTTCAGGCTTTTGGGCCCAGGTGGCTTCCTTTATTCATTCAATTCTTACTTGGTTGTAGCTACTCTTCCATAATAAGCCCGAGATGATTATTCCCTCCTCTTTTAAAAAGGGGGTAGATGCACATTTGTCTCCTTATAGCTAGGAGAAAAAAAAAATAAAAATGTTACTATGCAAAAGAGAAATCGGATACCGAATTCCAAAGACATAGATGGAAGGATTTCATCATAAAACGGTATAACCAACCTAGAAATTTTAGACCTGGTAGAGCCCTTTTCGACTCACAGATTGGAGAAGAAAGGATGAAAAGATTGGGGGCTTCAGAAATTGACTAATTGATACTGTTTTGGAGGATGCAATTTATTGTTAGGTTCTGATGCTTTTTTTTATTTTTTTCCTTTTGTTGTTTGCGTTTATGTTAGAATGAACGGTACTGTTTTAGCCCTGTTTTGGAAGGCTTTATCGTTTATATGATTCCATGAAGTAATCTTTTGGTGGCCTTCTGACGTAGGCCCAATGGCAGAATCTCTTGTACTTGTTAAAATGAAAAACTTTAATAAAGTATGTTTAAAAAAAAAAAAAGAAAAAAACATTTAATTTTTTTTTTTAAGATTCACCCTACCTTACGAGAACTGAAGTGGATCCTCAGCCTGGGGTCCGGTGTGGGGTGCTGTGCCGTAGCTCCATTCACACGTGCATTGCTTGTACAGCTCCCTTGCGTGCCCTGTAGGAGGTGTCGGGAGCCAGAATGTGACGTCACCAAGGCACCTCTATAGGGCACGTGAGATAGCTGTAAGCAGTGCATATATGGAGCTCTCTCATGGCCATAGCTCCAGCCCACCTCAAGCTGGACACTCGGCACCGGGCGGCATATTTTGAATGGTTGCTTGGCGCGAGAACTGACAGCGCTGCGCTAGGGGGAGGCAGAGGAGCCTCCCGCCTAGAAAAGTGGAAGGCACTTGAAAACGGGGTCACGACCCACCAGTTGAGAACCAAGGCCTTATATCACTTGTGGTCATGCATGGTCCCGGCCTCCTGTAGCACATGTCCGTGGTCTCTGACCATCTGCCATAGAAAGTCTGCAGTCAGACCACTTGTGCTGGACTCACCTTGGCCAATGTCTTCTTGGAGTAGATCTCTGTCCTCAGCCCAAAGTTCTGCAGATCTGCCGGTTTGTCTTTGCTTTTCTCAGGGAAATTCAACATCTGCTGAGCGGAGGGAATCTAAAGAGGAAGGAGGAGGATGTGAGCGTTCCATGCGTACTCCACAAATGAGTGCGTGCCATCAGCCTGGGAACTTACCTGAGGAGTCCTCAAGTGCAGCGGTACCAATCCGGACGGCGTGTCCGCCAGCACGTTGAAGTGAGGTGTCGGAGGCGGGCCCATGGCCATTGGTCGGGAATCGGCATCCACCTGGTAGTTCACCAGACCCCACTGCTCCAGGAATGCGTGAACTCTGCAACCGGGAGAAGCCTCACGTCACTTACAGACCACAATGTCGCATATGCCGCATTCAGCGCGCTAAAGCTTATATCACACAGACATCGGCTGAACCTCCCAATGGACACCGAGAAATAAAAACTACGACCTTACACGGAATTTCCAGGAATGGAGTCACCGTCGCACAACATGACAAAGATCTAGAATACACAAACCTCATGATGGCGCACACGTCTCCCGTCAGGTTCCTGCGGCAGGCGGTGCTGGTCAGATACTCCTGGGGGTTCAGCCGGTAGGTGTCGATGATGAAGTTGCGGTAGGCCAGGTATCTGGAAACATGACAGCAAGATAAGCAAAAAAGTCACTCGCAAAGCTGAACATTTAATGGATGGATATATATCAGAGCTGAATGCGAGCCAATAATGCACAGGGCGACTTCTATGTGCAAAGATTGCGCAACCAGCAGCACAGGGCGACTTCTAGACGCCAAACGCAGCACAATTACTCAACCTCTGCAATCAGCACACGTCACAGGTCCAATCAAATAAGTGACACCCAATTCTGGGCCTCATGTGTCCCTCTAACTCCTCCTTGCAGCTCTTGGCCAGTCTCCCATGGGACCTGCGGCCCTTCCCCCTTCAGTCTCCCATCGGACCTGCGGCCCTTCCCCTTCAGTCTCCCATCGGACCTGCGGCCCTTCCCCTTCAGTCTCCCATCGGACCTGCGGCCCTTCCCCCTTCAGTCTCCCATCAGACCTGCGGCCCTTCCCCCTTCAGTCTCCCATCAGACCTGCGGCCCTTCCCCTTCAGTCTCCCATCGGACCTCCGGCCCTTCCCCTTCAGTCTTGCACAGTTGTACCGGCTCCTCTGCTGGACTGAAATGGCCTCCTCAGATGTCACTGCACACTGGGAGCATCTCACAATGTGCATTAGGAGCTGCAACAAGTCAGATGGAGCCCCGCCTCCTTTCCTGGCTGGAGGAAGTCCAGCATCATCTAGATCTTGCCTCCCCAGCCTGACTGCCCCTGGCCGGTTCCTTTCATTTATTGGATTTTAGTTCTGTCAATCATGGAGGCTCCACATTACATGCGAGTGTTACCTAGGGAGGTCTGCATGCAAATACAGCCTGTCTAGGAACGCCCACTCCTCCAGACCGACACCCACCCATCGAGGCATTTTGATATTTGCATAACTCCTCACAAGAGCCAGCCTACTGCTTGCATCATAGCTGAGGGCTCTTGAGTACCAGGGGCAGATTGTGCCGCTGTAACTGAACCAGCTTGAGCCAAGTGAAGTCAGATTATCTGCATGCTTGCTGCTCTCTAAGCCGGGATAAAATGTTCTCTAATCACGCAGTGTTCAAAAACCCCCCCATCAGTGGCATACTAATACGATTTCCAGCACGCAGGCAAACATTTGAGCGATCTGAGAAAGTACGCCGACTTCATGGCAACTTAGCTACAGGCAGTCGCTGAATCCAGGACCGGTCCTCGCTCATAGGTCACGTGACACAATAACACTTACACCTCTGGGGTCTTTGACTTGTTCTTGCCATTGAAGAATTCTGGAAGAGCTCGGCGTTCAATGACGTGAATGCTGAAGAAAAGGAAAGACGGGAACTTCAATCTCCAGTTCACAAAATGCACAACGGACGGATTTGTGGGCGTTCAGAGAGAGAGAGAGAAAGTGATACCTGTTATAATCAAACCAAGCCGCATAGCTGGGGATGATGATGTGATTGGTCTGTTCCGTCACATTGTCTTCACTGTTATCGATCATCCTGCTCTGATCTCCTCGGCTGGGGTCTTCATCTTCCTGTGATTGGTGGAAACGGGAGAGGACCGGTCACTGAGCAATTGTGCAATAATGGAGGAGCACAGAATGCAAGATTGGAGCAATGAGGACACATGCCAGCACCCTCCATTCTCAAACCCCCCCCCAGCAACGAGGATGCAGGGAGTCCTCTCCTCCCCATCCAGGAGCAACGAAAACAGATGCAGGGCAGCACCCCCAGAAGCAATGAGTACTTACCTTTCCACTGGCAGCTACGGCTTCCTCCTCCTGCTCATCTGTAAACACAAAATTAGTGATTTTAGGAACCTCAAAGAAAACAGAACGGAATATAAAGCAGATCATTCGGTGTATATGGATCATAAGGAGGAGCCAGCTTCTCAGAAACTTGGTTTCATGATGTGACCTTAAGCACCCTAACCTCCCTCTCTGCTGCTTCTGACACTGTGGACCTCCCGCTGCTCCTCAGAAAACTCCACTCGCTTGGCCTACAAGACTCGGTTCTCTCATGGTTCTCCTCCTTATCCAAGCTCCTCCTTTAGTGTCACCTGCAAATCTAACTCCTCCCCTCTTCCTGTAGGGGTCCCCCAAGACTCTGTCCTCGGACCCCTCCTCTTCTCCATCTACACCTCCTCCCTCACATGGCTTCCAATATCATCTCTATGCCAATGACACTCAAATCTATCTCTCTACTCCGCAACTCTCCCCCTCAGTGTCCTCGCGTGTCACCAATCTACTAACTGACAATCAGTCCGGATGTCGCAACACTTCTTACAACTCAACCTTTCAAAAACTGAGCTCATGATATTTCCTCCCGCCCGTGCACCTTCCCCCAACTTTTCCCTTGAGATTGTTAACACAACTACCCCCCCTCCCCC